ATATAATATCCACTGAGATTAGAACGGATAAATGTATCAGAATATAATATTATAGACCTTTGATGGTGTCACTCTATCGTTTTCCATTCTCAGAACAGCCATTTTTCGCCCAATTAATAGTAAATGTCTTAATGATTATTACACATAATATCAATATAATTATACATGTATGTATATGTACAAAACATAAATGGTTTAAAGACGTTCGACTACATTGTAAAAATAATAATAATATTATTGTATAATATTTAATTTGTATATTTTGTGACACTTAGAGAAATTAATAAAAATGGAGCGGCCTGAGGGCCATAATATAATAATAATATAGTAATGTTTATTTTAATGTTTTTGTCATTGTTGGTTTGGGGTGCCGATTAAGGGAGTTGGGACCGAGAGGGGTGTAAATGTATAGTAACCAAGAGGAGTCTGATTGTGTATAAAAAACCATGTATGATTAAAAAAATATTAAAAACACCTATCGAAACTTCGAAACACTTGGAAAATTGTTGTAATAATAGCGGTGATATAATGTTATTTACGAGAAAAATAAAACGACGAACATCTTATTAAACGACTATACGACATTAAACCTTGATACACGTATATGATGTATAATATATAATATATATATAAATAAATAAATACTTAAGTTCTAATATTCTTATAGACTAAATGTCGTGTCGGATTTGGACGGTTTCTCGAACGAGAAACTACAATCGAAATCGCGATCACGAGGACTAGTGACTCCACTCGCGTTTTGGGTCGACGTGTGATAATAAAAGTATACTATACACGGACGACCCAGTAATATTAATAATAATAATAATAATAATAATAATGAAATACACATAACAATAACGTCATGGGTAAAAACGAAATAAAAACAAACTGAATGAACTAAAAAATAGAAAGAACAGAGAAAACACGAAACAAAATTCGCAAAACGCCTACAAACTACATTTTGTCCTCGACCTCGGGTGCCTATATTGACCGCAATTTTTCGCTTACCCTCCACAGTGTTATGTGGTCGGTAGCGTTGCAGTCGCCCGAGGAGAGGATATCATATTTGAAATATTAAATGGCCACATTCGTCACGGTAACGATTAAATTATCATTGGTACATGCTTAAAATTATACAAGGACTTAGCGTAAAAGGAAAGAAAAAGTATATTATTACCTACCTATATAATTTTATTATCAATATTGTATAATATATATATATATATATATACGATTATTGGATAACAATAATGTGATGTATAGTGTATACTTAACCTACGGAATTGCATCTTCCCAGCCTTACAAATAAGTAAGTTTAATTATTTTTTTATTTTATTTTTCTCATAATATTTTCTTTCTTTATATTTTATAATACGACATAACTTATTTATCACTCAAAATAACAATAATCTATTTAATAATACTTAAAGAAAATATTAAATTGTTAAAAAGGACCTTAAAAAAGTAGGGGTAAAAATATGAAAAAAAATATTTCATCAATGTCAGTCTTCTGAAGGGAAAACATACAACATAATAATAATAATAATAATAACAAAGTCAAAGATTAATTTAGTTATTAACTATATTAATAATTAATATACGCAGTGTGTTTGGAACGCGTTTACAACATTTGTTGTCTATTTATATTATTAATAGTTAATAATATATTATGTTATATTATTATATATAATAAATGGAATGTTTTGTATGGAATACTGAAATTGTATAATATGGTGAAAATTATATTCTAACACCAGTCGAATCTAAGAAAAATTGCTTTATATTTGACTATATAATTACTTAGATATTATTTTATTTAAATTATGACATCGTAATAGTTATATTGCATCGTACGGCCTGTCAAATTTAATTCGATACACTTATAGTTATAATAAGTTATTATAACAACATCGTTTTATGTCTATACCTATAATATAATATAATATTTATAATATCTGTAGTATTATAAATAAAATTATATTAAAACAAACATTAATTACCATAATAATAATAATAATAATAATAATAATTTTTTTCTTTTATTTAAAAATGGAGGAATTTTGAACCCGTGCTTTACGGTTGTCCAAACGACGGGTAAGTACGACTACGGGGGGGTGAAGCGGTCGCGGTATTTGTGTATCACGTGCCCCACCCCACCCGCACACACGTACACGCGTTTGGGTCACCACGAAATAAATAGAAAATCGCCTCGAAAACCTATAATTTTGTTCAGTGTTACGTTATTATATTATATAATGTACTCAAATCGATAAAGTAAAATGCCTTTCTTCTGTTGTGCGTGCGATTATTGTATGAGGATTTTGGGGGGGAAGAGTTATCACTGTTACACGACGAACAATAATAATATTATATTATATTAAAATCAAATATTATTATATTTACACGACCGCGAGAGAAAAAATTATTGTAAATTATTGCAAGAGATTTCGACAGTTAGACATAATGGGTGACGGCGAGGGATTAAAAACTGAAAAATGAAAACGTCTAGAACACATATAGTTTATTACAATATTATAATATAAACCTACCCGTTGATTTCTTCAAAATATTATTAATTATTCTATACATTGTTGTTTATTTTGTTTATTTATAGTTTATGCAGTATAATATGTCTTTCGATAAAAAAATATAATATACATTATAAGAAAAAACCACGATAATAATATAACCTATACACATCAATCGATCCGCAAGTGCGATCCCCATGGACGTAATACTGTAGACGAGTTATATGTATACGATGACTTTGTTGTGTGATTTAAATTATATATAATATATGTCTTATAACCAGGGCATATGCGTCAAATACCTGTAGGTGATACATTTCACTATTCCAGCCCCTTTTTGATGAAAAAAAAAACCTAAACGCACTCTTCGAACATAGGAAAAATTATTGTATGGAAGAAGCCAAAGAGGGAACGCTTTTTGGTAATTTTTTTTAATGCATTTCGCATACTAAAATAGGGGTTGGGCAATATATTTGCATTATATGCAGATTACTTATTTGATATTTTTGTAAGGTTCCGAAACCAAGAGGTATAAATGTATAATATTTTATATTATAGATTTCAGTGGTGGGCGCTGCGTGACGGCATAAACTTAGGTGAAACAACGGATCTCTCTGTATAAAATATGTATAATTATTATGCTGAATATTCGTGCACGGTGCAACCCTACCCTTATGTAAAAGGAAACAAATTACTTCACCCTATACTCTAGACGACCCTTCTTTTTTTGGGGTCGAGGCACTGACATGGCGCACGCGACCGACCTCGTGTAACGCGCTTCCTGTCCTATTTTATTTTTGTTGAAAAGATTCGATTTGAATCCCTGAGGCCTGCGGCGAATGGTGTAGAATGTTTAATGCATTTTGAAAAATCATATGATTTTAGGGTATTTTGGCTCCCACATGCACGTCATAGCATCCTATATAATCCTATACATCCATTCCGTCTTAAACCGTGCCTATGGTGGTTACGAAGAAATGGACTAGATGATTTTTTTTTTTTTTTTTTGAGAAGTGTCACCGAATTTCTCCGATACCGATGGGGCGGATACGGAGAGAAATACGATTATGCGTGTTACTCGATTTCGGTAAAAAGAACGGGACGATTTTGACGGTGCGAAGGAAAAAAAGCTTCCGCTCCGCCCACATATATAACATATCCATGGAAATTTGCTGTGGGTAAGCGCACCCCGGGCAGTGGAATTTATCGATTCGAGAACGTGGACGGACATGATGGGTGGTCGAGGGTGGACGGGTGCGCGCCAACACTATAGGTGAAACCCTTGCGCACGAGTCTATACATATATACTACAATAATAAATAATGTTTTACGACCAGCGGTGTTTCTTCCCAATTTCGTATGCAGGTACTGCGTCAGATCCGCAGAATCAAAACATCTTTGTGCCTACATATATAATATGTGATATTGCGATGGCAATAATAATATGTTATTTAACCGAGCAGTATATACTTACTGGCAACTGCATACTTCTCGAATATAATAACACAGAACACATTTATCAGAATGGACACTGCAGATAAGGAATTATAAGAGCGACATCTAAAACTAATTTGCCATTTTTTTGGAGAAAAATCGTTATGATCATATACATATATAACGATATAATATCTTCCTCCAACAAATTATTGTTTACATTTTACAGCGTCCAGAGCCTGATAATAATATTACCTACATATGGTACATCGGTTGTGTTCTTTGGCGTAATACAAACATGGTAACGGTTTGTTGACAATATATTATATAGCGTTAACTCGATACACGATATAGCTGGACTAAGATGATAATATTATCCGAAAGTACATGATAAGTTTGTTCCAACTACACACTATCAGAGAACTTTAGTGGCGAAAATATTAGCTGTAGAGTTTTCCCACATCAGAAATACAAACTCAAACCGTCAGACGCGTCTACTCCAACACGTCATTAGACCAGTTTTCGGTTTTGGTCTAGGACAGTCAATGGGATTCAGATGGGGACTTGGAGTCAACAGCCCAAAACACGCGTGTTTTGAGCTCCAAGTTCAAGTTTGCGCACGCGCATTAAACCAATCACGGATCCGTCTGCAACTATAGTCTCGAATTCCGTGTTGGAACAAACTTTATGTATGGTACGGTTCGCAGAGCGTTAGGGCCTTTGGAAGGGTGGGAAGTGGGAGGGTGCGCGGTGGAATATAACTATAGTTAATAAATAAAATAATAATATCGTACAACGCGGTAGACACTGTGGGAAGACATGTTCCAATACACATAACTTAATATTTATACATTAACAACATCATGGTTTGGACGATCGACGGTATAATATATAAGTAACGTTAGTAATATTAATAGCGACGCGCGTTACCGTTGCCATTGGTGTTACCACTGCTGCTGCTGGAGGCGGCGGCGGCGACGACGACGACGTGGTTTGTGCTATACGTGTTTCGCGGTGTTCACAGGTGAGAATGGCTCATCACGCCGTCTGCAACACCGAGTTGAGCGTGCCGCAAGCCTTGAGCTCGCTGAAGATCTCCGTGAAGTACGCGGGCTCGGCGTTGATACGCAACATCTTGGCCGACATGGCGCGGACGATGCCCAGGCACCGGTCCCAGAACGCGTCCCGGCTGTCCTCGACCAGGAACGGTTTCAGTGGATACGATATCTCGTTGCCCATGTACGAGTACGCCAAGTACAAGCACGTGAGCACCACGGCTTGGAGTTCCGGTTCCGTGGCCACACGCTCGTCGACCAGCTCTCGGACCAGCATGTAAACGAACACCACGTTTGCCGGGTTTATGAACGGCACGTCCTGCGGCAATGCAAAAACCATACAAACTAAATTATAACGATGGCGAGTGAAAATAATTATTTATTTAATTTGTAATAATGTATAATATTATAATAACCCTCAATAGTTTATATCGTATATAGTTAGATACCAATAATAATATATATGAATACGAATCTAACTCTACATTCAAACTCCTAAGTCAAGGGGATCCAGGGATTTCTAGTCATTCGGTATTTTTTGGTTCTTCACAATATTCGTTTATACCCCTGTAAGCTTGCAGAACACGAAGCTGCAGCAACGCAGGGTAGTAAAACTAATAATATACTATACCTACGTCATGATTTTAATATCAACATTTTAATGATACATTTGACAAGTGTACATACATTTTCCAATTGTTTGTTCCAATATGATTTCAAATTTACTATCAGTTCCGTTTTCCGGTAAGTACCTAACCGAAACTAACCTAGTCTATGATAATTTAGTGATAAACGTATGTTTCAATGTCACAAATTGTTTGGATCACACGGCGTCCTGTATAGGTAATTCGAACACACTGTCTGATTTCCATTTTTATGATAACACATAATATTATACACTATAGGCATAGTTATTATAATATATATTTGTTTTTCTAATGACACTGACACTTTTATAATACCTAAGCATATTATAGTCAAAAGTACCTAAACTAGAGATCCAAAATGATTGCCGTTGCTGCACTCTGTACGAGACCATACCATTACTATGTAACTCTTCTTGACAAAACTTTAAATTATTATTATAAAAATATATACATATTATTATTATTAAATAATATGAAAATCCATAGAAATTAATATATCGATCGGCTAATAATTATTTTGCATTTTTTATGTAGTCATGTATAGACACTAGACATTTTCAAATATTCTACCCGTGAACAAATCGTTATAGGAAGGGATAGCTTTAAAAAAAATTCAAAACCGAAAAACCGAAAAACCTTTGTATTATTTAAGCTAGGATGAGAAAATATTGTAAAAACTGTTCGTATACTGTAAGTGTTTCAAACTATATCTATACTCTAGAGACTATTGAATATCATGATTTCAAAATAACTTATAATTTTAAAATATATTTAATAACATTCAACCGATAAAATAGACCATTCTCCATTTCTCCCATTGTTCGCCACTGCCTTGGTATTATGATATTAAAGTACATAACATAGTCACACACATAGTTATATAGGTATTAGGTATACTTAAGTGTTTTTATATTTTACACGACAGCATGGCTGATTTTCTTGGTTACCCACACTCGACGATGGATATATTATATATTGTTGCAAAATAATGCACTATTCATAGCAACTATAGTATTATATAAGTGACTTTACAACGTAAACACACATAATATAACATTCTACAATTTTTTTTTTTTTAATATTGAGTGTATCGTATATGTTTTATTTTTGTGAAGTAGCTATAGAAGTATTCAATAGTTCTCTACTCGACAATAAAGGATATTGTCTATTGACTATTTAGAACTGAAAACTGAATGCATTCATAGTTTTTTTTATGATAAATGTCAACGACATAAATACATATAGTAATATAGCGAACAAAATACACCAATATACTATTTCATGTTACAATATGATACTTTATATTAATTAATAATCTCATTATTTAATATTGTTATTTTATACAAATTACTATAACTGAAATTGCTATTTTGCGTGCTCATAGACAGTCGTTATAGTAATTAGTCAAAAAAAAAAAAATCCATCTACTTATCTAACTTTCGACACTTTTCAAAGACTTTTTGTGGACCTTTTATCATGCTTTTTAAATTATTTGTACAATAACTTAGCACAGTGTTAATTCCAGAATGAATCGAAATTGGTTTGATACATCAGCCAAGTATATAAGTCGGTAAATACAAAATAATAAAAATATGAACACTAAAAAGTCTTAATAGTTTGATGATTTTATTACATTTTGTGAATAAGGTATTTTATAAAATCGTTATATATATAGGTACATATATAAGGATCCTCAAAAATTGTGTTATTATAAGAAGGTATTTAAAAATATTAAAGATACATTGGCGGAATATTTTTTATAATCATATTTTGCTAGAATTTATCTATTTTATACACACAATGACATTTTCCAATGCAGCGTTATCTGCAAAAATTAATTTACAGCCGTACTACTATAGTAGTAAAATAAATTACCATAACATCAATATAAATATGTCATAAAATATACTTAGTAATATACATATAGGCTGACAATCTGCCATTACTTATATTGCAATGATTATTGATTCCAAATTAAACACATACATTACAGACTGCAATGATTTACTCCTCAATGTCGAGGTACACTAGACACTGTACACCAGAGCGGTTACCCACTTTCCCCCTTTTTATAGTTTAAGATCACTGTTATCAATGATCGCCGTTAAAGATTTAATATACTTAAAGTTACTAACATAGTTTCTAGGTTATTAGTTTATTACTTACCTATAAACAAATTTTATATCATATTTTATCTTTTAATATAACAGTCAGAACATATGTTTTATTTTTATGTGTTCTTTATGTTCTTAAGTCCTAAAAATATTATTAACTGTGTAGGTATATAAAATGTAAAGCCCAAGTAAACAGATTAAATAAAACAAAAATAAATAACTATAAATATTCAATAAATGATTTTTCTAAAAACGAAAAACAACACTTTTCATTTGTATGCTTACGACTTACTATAATATTACCATTCGATCGCATTTCACATGACCCTTTTTCCGGTTGTGAGTGGACACAAATTAAATCCGTACGCGTGTCAATCGCGTCGATTTAAACCGCCGCAAATCACCACGGCGGCATCCAGCGTTTGGTTTATTTCACGTTCCAGACACATAGTAGGTATAGTGGCTATTTGGTCGGATTGTGTTTATTATTATTTAATCACCGTTGATGAGATTACTTTGATTTTACTCGAGGGCCGGTTTGCGTTTCACTCGTCGCCTCAAACCCGGATATTACCTACACACATATATATATATTATATATATTGTGTAATATATGTTCCATGCACATCAACGTTGCTTGCAGTATACAGTTGTGTTTAAATCTCTTTAGCCCAAACCCATTTTATAAGCGAAAAATTAAGTTCGGGGAGGGTCGAGTAAATGAGGTATTAGTTGCACTTGATCTTTGAACACACAACAACTCGTACGCGTTCCCCACATCAACTCGATCCTGGTCCCTTCCCCGCAGTTTTTATTGTTGCTGAACTATACATCGTCAGTAGAAAACTAAAAACGTATAAAATGTATTGTAAAAACACCGAAGCCATAGTCGTTTATTTGCACACGGAAGAGGGGTATAAGTATATAACTGACTTTATGAGAATAAACATAATATTATATATTATGTTATAAAATTATTGTATAGCACCCAATTATATAAATTTAAAATTAATTCGTGAGTTTCTCATCTTATAATAAAACTTTATTATTTGTAATTATCGTCCAACTACCGGCGTTATAATGTCAAGCGATTGAATTGTTAAATTTAAAATATCAATAATAGTGTTTCCCATAAAATTGTGCCAAATACCCAATTTGGTTACAGATAAAAAACATTCCACAACCCACCAGATCCACCGAATTGTCGACAAAATAGCCTCGTCGTTTGAGAACAAAAACTTCTGCCCTGGAGTATTCTTAGACGTATCACAAACGTTCGACCAAGTCTTGCACACCGGATTACTCTTTAACCTAAAAATGTTCCTCCCGACTCCACTCTACTTGTTGACTAAATCATATCTAATCTATCTGGGCCTATGGCATCCAAATATGGGGATGTGCCAAGCCTTCCCAAATACGGACTATACGAGCCTTCAAGTATATTTCCCTTCGCCAAATAACATCTGCTCCATGATACGTGGCAAACCTCTCACTACATAAAAAACTTAAAATTGAAACACTCTCTAAAACAGCTAAAAATTACTATAAAAATTCCCACACCAAAACAGTTTACCACACAAATCCATTGATTTCTAACTTAGCCAATGAATTCATGCCAAATAACACCCCTCCCCACGTCGATTAAAAAGACCCTGAATCTCGGCCTGAGCTAATTAAAAAAAATAAAACTCCCTACCCCAAGTTAGAGGGTATCCACACTGGTGGGCCTCCCTCCTCACGTCATTAATGTTTTGTACCATTAAGTTTTTTTTTGCTATCAAATTTACTTGTTGTATATAAATATTACGGATTGTAAATACTCTATTTTTATCTAATAAAAAAAAATAAAATAAAATAAGTGTGTAACAATTACTAAAATATATCCCATTAGAATGTGGGAAGGGGATTGACAAAATTCCTCACCCTACTAAATTTAAAAAAGTCGGTAATTTCTTATTCAATAATTGATAGGTAATACCAAAAGTAATAAATACACAAACACTTATGAGTTATGACTTATATATCTATATTATATTTGAGTATAACTAATAAAATATAAATATGGTTTTTTAAAGAAAAACATAATATACAAGAAGAAAATATTTTGTTTTTGATGTATAATTATACAGAACACCAAAATGACCTGAATCCTGGATTCCTACATGTTTTTCGACTAGTAGACCATAAAAGATAATCAGTTATGTAATGATTGAAGTATTATTTTTATTATCTACTGTATAGAACTGAATAATATGGCTACCATATAATCATGAATTTTTTTTTAAAAGAAAATATAGTCCTCAATAACATCTAAAATTAAGATATGTACATAATATAATATTACCTAATATATAATGGGTAGCATATACGGTAGATAACAATATTGATCTGCAATGTTATAAAAATATTAAATTTAATATGGAAAACTTCCAAAAAAAATAACCCTTCTGAAATATTAGACATATGAACTTCTACAAAAAGTTAAGTAGGTTATCTCCTATAACATAATATGATTTTGTAATCTTCTACAAAAAGATTAGTAATCTCCTATATTCTAT